GTCATTTCGTCCACCTCGTGTGCCAAGCGTCATTTCGTCCACCTCGTGTGCCAAGCGTCATTTCGTCCACCTCGTGTGCCAAGCTGCACAGAGCTCCCGTCCATCCAACTCCGTCTATCAAGCTCCATCAAGCCTCAATTGACCACGACCACGTGTAGAGGCAGCGCTACCTGCATTATGCGCTTGTGGAACTTTTGAAAAAAATGAGTTTGAACCGCTTAATTTTTAAATACGTGGTGATTCTGCCTTTGGTGAAAATCAAGCAAGACACGAACTCCAAAAGATTCTGGGCTTGGCAGCTCTGAGGTGGCTCTAAGAATCTGGTGGTGAAATCTGGCGGCTCAGAGCCGGCTCTGAGCAACCGGAGTTGTCGGAGCCGCACGCAAGCATCTCAGTGATGGTCGACCTGCGAAACAAAACGCCGATGTACAGTACAGTTGTGAACCAGGGAGCTCAAGAGATGGCCTAGCGACTGCATATCGAGCAGCAGAAGCGAAGAAGATACTCGAACCCGTGTGGCGGCGAGGAGAGCCGTGGAAAGTATGGAGAAAGATAATAGGAGGTTGAGGAGCAAGACGGTTAAGATTGTGAAAGAGGTACTCGACAACGGGGCGGGGATGGTAAATGAAGCTTGGAGTAATCGCAACGTCCTCGCCCTGACTGTCCTGCTGCCGATCGGTGTGGCGGCAAGGGACAACGAGAGATCAGAGGTGGCACCGAAACATGGTCGGATGATCGAAATTGCAACTCAAAAAAAACGATGATAAAACCAAGTGATGCGATGACAACGGCCTGTACCGTACCCTGAATACGATCAGAAATGTCCGGGTCGAAGCTCTCTAGATACACCGTACGAGCTCCGCCGCGGAACATCCGGAGCGAGTGAATTCCTGTACGCGGAGCCGTGTAGAGGCGGGAGCACGATCAATGCGGAGCTGCAAATAATGTCGTTGCAGCTCCGTGGACAACCTCTGTTCTCGGCGCGGGTGCGGCGACAGACCGATGGACGCAAAGATGGCACCTCATCCGAGGAAACGCGCAATCGACATTCGATCTCTAGGCAATTGCCAATCACAGTCCCGCGGTTGGCCGTGATATTAGGGCCATTCGAATTGGCAGTAGGAACAGCTTTTGCACGAAGGGACGTCACGTGTAACATTGCGTAATGTAATACCAACGCTTTCGCTGTTCTGTGAATCCATGCTTGAGGATTTGGCTATCTGGAAGATTCGGGATATACTGTCAAACAGAGCCAACCTGGGCATAAAGGTGTCGGTGTACATATGTCAATCGACGTGCGAGCGCATTGTAGCTGTGTGCAACATTTTCTCGACTGCAATTGGACAAACCCGCCTGCCATTCCAAGGGTGTACTCTTCTTTTCAGCTAACAGTGTCGGGTGTAGAGCGAGTCGAGGTCTCTGTGATGGGCCACGTGGCTCGTATGGTCTGCACTATGTCTTCAGGATCTTGCTAGTGAAGTCAGCTCAACTGCGTCAGATTGTAAGCTGCGAGCGACAAACATGCAACTACCGCATTTGCAGCTGTCGAGTGCGATCGTCAAGAAATTTCGGCTTCCAGGTGCACTCAGTACACTGGTTGGTGCACCCCATGCATGCAAACGTTGCCCTGCTCGATCATAGGGTCGATGGGATTGAGAGGTTCCACCGGGACGTGCGCGTTGTGCGCGTTGTGCGCATTGTGCACGTCTTTCTCCGGCTCCTGCGCCAACGTTGTCCTCTTGACCTTGTTCCCCTCCCCAATGTGCTGAGCGCAGAACTCAAACCTCTTGGGATCGTCCTGGTGGACATACAAGCGCTGACAAGCCTTGCATTTGTAGTAGCCGCGGGCGTTCATCTGGTTCTTGACAGTTGTGGCACACTTGACCCACGGACAGAACTGGTCGCGTAGGTCGATCCACTGCCACGGTTTGTGGGGATCGCCCTGGCTGATGTGGTCGATAATCTGCTGGACCACGCTCGCCTCGATGGCAGAGGGCCGGCCGGTGCGGCCGCGTCCAGGCTGTTTCGTCCGCCCGCGCAGAACCTCGCCGACCCACGACTGCTGAGTTCGGTGCGGAACTCCAGTGATCTCGAAGATCTCGTCCTGCGTATGCTTCCCGCCCTTGACGAGTCCGATCACCTCTCCCTTTGTCTGAACGGGCCACTCCGATCGTGTTTTGTGGCCGGTGGCGGGGGATTCGGTGGTCGTGTTGTTAGGGGACTGAGCGCGCTTGCGTTTGGCGCCTTTGTTGGCTTCGTCCCTGTTGTGTTCCTCCCGGTTGGCTTGGTCGCGGTTGGCTTCATCGCGGTTGGTTTCGTCACGGCTGGCTTCGTCACGGCTGGCTTCGTCCCGATTGTCTTCGACGATGTTGTTCTCGTCCATGTTGTCGAAAGCGTGGCGTGGGGCAGGCGTTGCGATGTCGGGCTCTCGAGATGCCGAGCGAACAAGAGGTGGGCAAAGGTGAGGAGATGGAGGGCGCTGGAAGCCTGCCACATGATTTTCCCGCTCGCCACACGTGACGTTGCGCTGCGGTGACTCCCGCACCATCTTATCTCATCTTATCGATTGCTGGTCAGGGGTACATGCGACGCGACGCGACGCGACTCACGGAGTCGTGTGAAGCTGTAGAGCTCAGTGAAACTCGCTGAAGTCAACGACAAAACACAACGCGCATTGTCTGCGGTGGTTGCATTGGACGCGTGTGGCAGCGCTCGTACATCATGTCTTGCCCTGCCCGGCCGGTGTTCGGCCCTATTTCCGGCCAATCGCTCTGGGATTATGCCGCTGCTCTTAAGTTGAAATGTGAAAGACAGAAGGACTTTCAGGACCGCTTCGGATTCAAGAGATGTTCCTCGGAGCTGCTGATGGCCGTCGTAGACGCCTGCTTGGAGATCTGCCGCCGCGTCTTGAATACACACCCTACGGACCTTGGGGTAGACAACTCTCGCAAACTGGACGTGCTTGTAGCAGGCCTCAACCACTTGAACGAGAAGCTAGCCGGAGTCGATGTCGGATTCCGGGATGAACCCCGGCCTATTCCAGCTGTGTTTGGCGGCCCGGCTTTGGTGAAGGAGGAGTCTCATGAGATGAATCTGTCGGCGGCACTCTATGGAGCCCCCTCCTACCCATCACCAGAGGTTGCTGTAGGTCGCAGATCACCGACAGTGTACAGCTGGGGCGCTAAACGGGTAACGTACAGGAATCCAGTGAACCACCGAATAGGATGTACCAAACGCCGGACATCCATCCTCCTCTTATTCACGCGCAAACAACCAGTCAATCGCCCACCGAATCGATTCGCGAGTCCGTCTGTCGGTGCTCAGAGGCAGAATCGGAGATGAGCTCGGAGGCTAATTCGGCTGTGCATTCGGAGACAGCCTCGGAAACAGACTCCTAGACTACAGCCGAGGAAGAAACTCTCAGCATCACTGCATCCTGTGTGAACGAGCCGGGAAACAAGGCGCCGGTGGTCACATCTACCTACAAGGTTCTGATGCACGGTATAAGAACTGGATTCAAGATTGTGACGCCGGAAGGCAAAGAGGGGATGAAACAGGATATCCTATGGTACAACCAGGAGCGCATTCCTGGTGCAGTGATAGTGGATGTCGAATGGCTACCGGTGAGCAGAAGGAAGAGGACCCGGCGACCAGTGATCATAGACTTTCTTCGCCCAGAGGACGCCAACGCCGCTATTGACAATCGGCTATTGTGGAATGGCACAAACCATCACGTACGCTACTACAATGAAGTAGGTCGACTCCGACAGTGCTCGAGATGCCAGCAATACGGACACGACGGAGCAGATTGCCACGCGCCTGTTAGGTGCGCGGTCTGTGCCGGAGCTCATGATCTGTCCCGATGCACCAACCGTTCCCGTCCCTTATGCGCTCTCTGTTGGGGACCTCATAAATCCTGGAATCAATCCTGCAAATACCACAACGAGGCGCGGGCGGAAGTGAAGAAACGGCGAAGGGCTCTACCCTCTCGATACCCGATCCATCAGCCCTCCGGTCGAGTCGCCAAGCAACCAGGAACAGGGGCGATCTCGAACGGTACACAGACTTCTGACGATGCAAGCTCTGATGATACGAGCGCGGACGACGATGAGAGCTCGGATAACACGCACGGCCAGACGCATACCGAGCTCTGGCTTTCATCTATGCAAGATCTGTTCGACAAATCAACGGCACAACAGGCCAGCCTCCAATCCCAGGCCAACGGTGATCCATCAAGCGAAAGGTCGGCCGATAGCGATCCGGGTTCCGGCAGTGATTCTGATGAAGCAGAGGAGAAGAGGGGTTTGGCGCCGCAATAACAGCCTCTACCTCCAGAATCTTGTAGCGACGCGAGCGGTGTACTGACCACTCCGGGGCAAACCAGACCAAGGACGAACAATACATCAGCAAGCAAGGACTGCGCGGTTTCGAAAGATGTATCCGCCAATGCATCTTCACGCAAGCGGGTAGCTCCGACCGCAGATAGCGATCAACACTCTAGTAGGAAGAAGCCGAAGGTGGCAGAGAAGCCAGCCAAGTCCGGCAAAACAAGAAATCAAGGTGCCTCAGTCGCTCGCCAGCCCTCCAGAGTATCCTGAAAGGCTGTTCGCAGGCTAGCGCTTCAAAACACGGGGTCTCATCAAGCACTGAGCTCTCCTGACGAGACCGAAGCCTACAGCACGGACATGGTACCATAGCAGCTGAAATGAGGACCGCGCAGCCGACTTGCGCCGCGAAGATGGGAGAGAAAGAGCGTTCGAAGACGAATAGCGTATTTGCGGGCCGAGCTTGACTGACAATCTCTTTGTGGCAACGGGAAACGGCCCGGGCATGAGCGTCACCAGTTTGTGAATCTACACCAAGGTTGTGCTGGCATCGGAATGTAGTCGTGGAAGGTCTGTGATTACCACAGGCAAGGGAATTACTCTTTGTACAAGAAGCTCCACCCACGCAGCAGGTGCGACACCTGGGTGAAGCGTAGAGTTAAGGAGTGTCAAAAATTGGTTTCGCTCTCTCACTTTGCAAGATAGACTCGTGTAGATTTCATCACTGTAAACTGTGAGGGCCTCTCGTTTCATCAGTCATAGGCGGCCTTGGATGTCCAGTCACGCGCTATCGTCAACATACCCCCTGACCCTGCAACGCGTTCAACTTTGGCGCGTTCTTCGAGCTCAACTCGGTACCGCCATCCATGTGACGACCAACTAAGTGATCAGACCTTTGCCACCTCGTGTAGCATCCGAACGACATAGACATTCTCTGATAGCATTTGCGGATAATATTGACGCCTTATTCGCAGCTGTATTGCTGACTTTTGGTCAAGTAGTATCAAGCAATAGCTGTAGGTACTTAAATCGCCGCGAGTCCAACATCTACATCTGAAATACTCATACCTACCAGGACTATGAATCCCAAAATAGTTGGAATGATGCCGTAGACTATGACCTGCTTGCTGCCCGCCCGCTATGGCTTGTCCAGGAGATCTGCAGAGCCCTCCGCAAAACGGAGCCGACTGTCAACCTGTCCACTACAGCAGGCCTTAGGGAGGAGCTTGGGACCTCGCAGCCCGCGTGTGAGTACCGAGGTACAAAGTCGTGATGCACTGTGCAGTAGCGGCCACGATCGATCTACGCCCGTCGGTACAGAGGACGTCAAATGGAGACCCTTTCCGGAAACAGCCGAAGCATTCCCAGCGCGCACATTGTCAGGATCAAATGGCTTCCGGCATGAGAATCGAGCGGGACGAACGAGCCTCGATAGTCATAGGATAATTAATCCGGAGGACGCGAACATCGCCAAGGCACCAGGGCCTTCAGTGGTACGACGAGCTCCTTGCGGTGGAGAACTACGACAAGGGTTGCCTCTTCAGGTAGTGTCACAGGTGCCGGTGATTTAGATATGCTCAGCATCAGTGTCGCGCGGCTATAAGGTGCTTATGCTGTGCTGGAGGCTGGAGCTCACCTGCGAGAGGAATGCCGAGGACGCTCCCGCCCCAGGTGTGTCAATGGCCCCTGACCGCACGAGGCGTTCTCCCAACACTGCGGTCTCCGCATGAAGGTGCTGAAGAAAATCCGAGGGCGGCGAGATAATCTTCCTCACAGCTATCCTATCCGCTATCCGCAGATACTGACGAGTGAGAACTCTTCTGCCGAAATATCATCACAGCCAGGATCTCGGAACGAGACACGATTGGCATTGTGGAAGAATCTCAGGTTGGGTGGGATTCAAAATCAGGGTCGAGGCAATTAGTCCAGGTGTTGCGTGACGCGAGTAGATGATGGTCATTGGAACTCGCCGTAGACGGAGCGAATCACCTTGCTGCTAGGAAGAGAAGGAGAGTGCTCGCGAGATGTTCTAGCTACGGCAGTGACAGCGGGTAATGCCAGCACGCTGTGACTTGCCAGTCCGCGCCTTCTAATGGACGTGAGACCATCGATGAAGAAAACAAGCGTGAAGTGGGTTCACGGTATCGGCGGGTGTGGAGGAGAGGGGCAGGCAGTTCGACAGTAGGGCAATGTATCAGATTGTATGCAACAGGCGTACGGTCGATCTTGATGGGCCAAGAACCGTCCGGCAGCTGTGCCCAGAGGGTAATGGCCGTCAGGCTTTTGTGTGGTGAAGGATTGCGGCGCATAGGACGATTATGGCAGTGATATCACGGTCGCGTAGGCCATCGACAACTATATGAAGCACGGAACAAGTGGTATTCGGTCTGATACTATGACACAATGAGTGGTTGATGTGATGCCGAACTGAAGAAACCTCTGCACGCTTTCTATACCCATACCGCACTTGACAACCAGCTTGCACCACCACACTATGAAAATCATTCTATACGAAGAGCCCCATCGAAACCGGGGCGGACTTCATTTGATCCTCCTGAATCTCCTGTAAGAGTGCATCTCCCGGATAATCTTCCAGATCTAGATCCATGTATCCTCGCGAAGCCCATTTCTTTGCTGCTATGAAAAAGGAGTGGCCGTTGATACTAGCATCACTGAGTATCCGCAAGAGACATTGACCGGCAGATTCTGCTTCCGCAAATTGCACGCCCGCTTCGACGACATGTGCGAAGGCTTCTTCGGACAAAATTTTGGTTTTGACATACCTATCTCCATTAACAAGTGAGACTTCAGAAGCTTGACTGTGCCTACCACGGAGAGATTACGTTCACGCGACTGCCATAGTAGAAAGCCGTCCTTCTCAATGAATGCATGATACCTCGCATGGCCCATTTGGTGGCAGAGTACTGAGGAATCCGGAGACAGTCCAGGAATGCTGCTCCTGAACCGATCAAAACCAAGCAAGTATCGTCTCGTGTCGAGGACGGTTTCTGTCCATTCTGCTTGACGAAATAATGAAGCGCCAATTTGACTGTATACAGCGTGCCCTTGACGTTGACGTCGATTGTACTCAAGTCAGGCTTTTCCGGCTCTTGGTTTTCACCTGTAAGACAACCGTTAGCGTGAAACGACGTTCTATCGCTGGAAGCCGGCTACCAGAGTATGAGAAGACATCATCTTGCCGGATAACGCCGGCATTAGCTACCACGTAGGCAATCTTCCCCGTCGGGGAAAAAGATGCAGCTTCACGAAAGAGTCGAACTTGGTCGTCCCACTTGGTAGTATCGCACTCGACGAATTTTGTGATCCTAGAAGGTTGATGTTTAGCACACAGCAAAACAACTTGAATGACAGACTTACCTATGAAGTTCAGCTGCCAATTTCTTTCCTCCTGCAATGTCGCGGTCTCCGATACAGACAGTAACTCTGATTGTCATGTTAGCGACAATCGATCTCGATGGCGCCATGGTCGCTGTCCCGTACCCTACAGCGACGAGGGCGCGAACATATGCTTCGCCGATACCATTGGCACCTGTTCTCAAGTCATTGAATGCATTCGTTTCCTACATTTAAGGGGTTCTACCTCCAGTTACAATAGCCGTCTTTCCTTTAAGATTGCTTGGATCAAAATCCACGTCGCAATTCACAGGGCCAGTATGCTTATATCCTTCCATTTCGAAAGAAAATTCTTCGAACACTGAGTCCGTTGCTATGATAATAGAAGTATTTCTAGCGATCGTGAAGAGAAAAACTGCAACAGAGTATCACTAAGTTCAGTCTGGCAAGGCTTACCAAGTTTATAATGAGCAAGTCTATGGAGGGTGAGAGGAAGGATAGCGAGCTTTCAACAGTAAGCTTGAGCGGATGCCAGCGGTCTGAGCCGGGCTACTAAGACCTCACGATCTGCACGGGCCCGTCAGCAAGTTGCATTGAACCCCTGCAGCAGCGGGAAAGGTGCCCTAATGTAAATGGATGACACTAACTACGCTCCTCCATTCGCTCGAGTCGTCCGCCACTGCGTGGCTAATGCCCAACAGCGAATGTCGTAATAGACCGGAAGTGGAAGTCCAGAGAGAAGACTGGACAGGCGTGACTGATGCGGGATTGGCCCACGAGTTTTTACGTACGCCTCAAGTTTTCCTACTCTGCTCCTTTCGGAGGGTTCGGCGCCCCTTCACCCCTGTGGTCGGGCGCCTTAAGGTAGTTACCTGGAACGGCGACAGAGCGTTATTGAGCGCAGTCACCATTTGATATCGTTCCAAAAACGCTTACGGCGAGACCTCTGGTTCAATGGTTCAACCGATTCTGCAGCTTTCTCCGCAATCCTGCATCAGTCACGCCTGTCCTGTCTTCTCCCGGACTTTCACTTCGGCCTATCACGACATTAGCTGCATGGGCAGTAGCCACCACGCATTAGCAAACGACTCGACCGAATGGAGGAGCGTAGTGTCATCCATTTGCATTAGGGCAACTCTCTCACTGCTAGAGCGATATGTGAGAAGCTGACATAGTGGTATGTACCGTGCAGTGATAGCTAGGAGAGTGGAGTGCGGGGTGAAGCAACCATGGCACGCGAAGCTGGGGCTCACACACGGCGCTAAACGCGGCTGCAGGGGTTTCATGCAACTTGCTGACGGGCCTGTGCGCTGGCGATCGGTTCGGATCGTTAAACGAACTGCGTCCTCATCGTCAGTCTTACCTTGTGGTGCTAGAGACTGCGCCCCGTACTAATAGCAGGGTTCGAAGATCCCGATTTGCGCTTCGCGATACCAACACGAACAGCATTTACACCGCACGAGCTGTGCATTAGCTCGGTCTAATTCCTACCGCTTGAGGTCCTAAGAGTGACGAAGCTGCTATGGAGCAGCTTACCTCTGCCGAGCCGATTTCCAGTTGGCCTGGCAGCCCAGGTACAAATAGAACTTCTGCCTCGCAGCTCTCCTACATGAGAACAAGCTGCCTGGAGAGTGCCTCTGTTCCCTCTCGTGGCCGTCAATTGCTTCGCTGGTAGTGGGAGCACGTTCAAGTTTATCTTTTTCGTACTAAAAGACAAGGGCGGAATGTGGCTGTACCAGGTTTCGGCCATTATCCTAGCTGCCGCTAGGCTTGCTGAAGCCCAATCTAGGAATACAACGGCTCTACCTGTGAGTGAAAAATGACTGTTTCCACTTTCTCGCAGTTCTTTCTTCGACTGCCTTCCATAAGCCTCACACGAGCGACAACGTGGCTGAGCAACGCGCAGTTTCCTGGAACTACGTATCCCGGTAGAGAGAGCCCAGCGCTAGCAGGCGTTGACCTATTCAATGCAACCTCTCCGCCATTCTATCCCTCGCCATGGATGGACGGCTCCGGCGAGTGGGCCGCAGCCTACGCGAGGGCGCAACAGTTCGTCAGCCAGCTGACTCTGTTGGAGAAGGTCAATCTTACGACCGGCGTAGGGTAAGCTAAGGAGCGCCTGAGAGCGACTTGCCTAATCACTGACTGGCTTAAAGCTGGCAAGGCGAAGCATGCGTCGGAAACGTAGGATCTATCCCTAGACTTGGGTTCCCGTCACTATGCATGCAAGACTCTCCTCTCGGCGTCCGTCTGTGTATGGAATCAAAGCCCCCCTGTGCGCAAGGAGCGAGTGCTAACATGTTTCAGCCGATTACAACTCCGCGTTTCCTGCCGGCGGCACGGTGGCTGCGTCCTGGGATAGGGGTCTCTGGTACCGTCGAGGATATGAGATGGGTATGGAGATGCGCGGCAAAGGCGTCGATGTTCAGCTAGGACCTGTTGTCGGACCTCTTGGTCGAAACCCCGCAGGCGGCAGAAATTGGGAAGGTGAGCTTTATCTTTCCTAAAAGCTAGTCCTCAGAAGTGAAGCTGTTAACGCTCTCCTGGCAGGCTTTAGCCCGGACCCAGTACTTTCCGGCATTGCCGTCGCGCAAACCGTCCATGGCATTCAAGACGCTGGTGTCGTCGCTACTACTAAGCACTATATCGGTAATGAGCAAGAACATTTCCGTCGAACAGCAGAAGCTACTAGTTATGGTTTTAACATCTCGGAGAGCATAAGCTCTAATATCGATGACACTACACTCCATGAACTCTATATTTGGTAAGTATCAACTTTCCAAGATGTCTGGCGTTATGGTTACCACCCTGCGCTCTCTATATCTTTAGTGACTCCAGGGCTGATGTAAATAGGCCTTTCGCAGATGCTGTTCGCGCCGGCACAGGGGCTATTATGTGCTCGTATAACCAGATTAACAACTCCTACGGCTGCCAGAATAGCTACCTCCAGAACTATATCTTAAAGGGCGAGCTCGGTTTTCAAGGCTTTATTATGAGCGATTGGGAAGCGCAGCATTCCGGTGTTAGTAATGCTCTAGCCGGTATGGATATGGCTATGCCTGGTGACGTCTATTTCCTTGATGGTGCCTCCTACTGGGTAAGTGCATTAAGAATACTTATTTTCTCGTACCTAGAACCCAGCTGACGAAGCGGTTTTACAGGGAGCCAATCTGACGCTCGCTGTTATCAATGGAAGTGTTCCAGAGTGGCGTCTTAATGATATGGCTACGCGTATTATGGCAGCCTATTATCTCGTTGGCCGAGATGAGGCTTACGTGCCGACTAATTTTAACTCCTGGAGTAGAGATATTTTCGGCTACCGTCACCCAGTACCTAGGCTAGGCTACGGCCAAATCAACTACCAAGTCGATGTCCGGAATGAGCACGGTAGAAGCATCCGTAACCAAGCAGCTCGCTCCACCGTCCTCTTAAAGAATACTAATGTACTCCCTCTCAGTGGCAATGAGAAGTTTACCGCTGTATTTGGCAGCGATGCTACCGAAAACCCATGGGGTCCGAATGGTTGCCCGGACCGTGCTTGCGACAACGGCACATTAGCAATGGGGTGGGGATCGGGAACTGCCGACTTCCCGTACCTTATCACGCCTTTGGAAGCGATCAAAAATGAGGTTTTATCTAATAATGGCATTATCCAGTCAGTCACCGACGACTACGCGTACAACCAGATTTCTACACTTGCTGGTCAGGCAAGTCACGCTATCGTCTTTGTCAATTCCGATAGCGGTGAAGGCTACTTATCTGTGGACGGCAACGAGGGCGATCGCCAAAACCTCACCTTCTGGCACAACGGAGATACACTGATCCAAAACGTTACCGCGCGTTGCAACAACACTATCGTCGTGATCCATAGCACCGGGCCTGTTATCACTAACAGCCTCGCCAATAACCCTAACGTGACTGCCATTCTGTGGGCTGGTCTGCCAGGTGAACAATCTGGCAATTCGATTGCCGATATCCTGTATGGTCGCATCAACCCGGCCGGTAAGCTCCCGTTCACCATTGGTTCCTCGCGCCAGGAATACGGCAGCGACATTTTGTACCAGCCCAATAACGGCGGCGCCGCGCCACAGGACAACTTCTACGAGGGCAACTTTATTGACTACCGCGCCTTTGATCGCGCGGGCATCGAGCCTGTCTTCGAGTTCGGCTACGGCCTCACGTACACCAGCTTCGAGTACTCCAACCTGAACGTCATCTCCCGCAACGCAAGCCCGTACGTCTCAACGACCGGCCTGACTGCCGCGGCGCCCGTTCTCGGCAACTACAGCACCAATCTGGCGGAATACCAATTCCCCGCCAACTTCAGCGCCGTGCCTCTCTACATCTACCCATACCTCAACGGCACCAACGCAACCCAGGCCGCCAACTCAAGCGACTACGGCCTGCCCACTGAACAGTACATCCCCCCCGGCTCACGTGATGGCTCACCCCAGCCACGCATCGCAGCCGGCGGTGCGCCTGGCGGCAACCCGCAACTGTACGATGTGCTGTTCACCGTCACCGCGACCATCACGAACAACGGCACGCGCAACGGCGAGGAGATCGCGCAGCTATACGTCAATCTCGGTGGACCGAACGATCCGGTAAGGGTGCTGCGTAACTTTGACCGCTTGAGCATTGATACGGGCATGAGCGCCACGTTTGTCGCGGATATCACGAGGAGGGATCTTAGTAACTGGGATACGATTGCCCAGAACTGGTTCATTTCTGGTTACCCGAAGACGGTGTATGTGGGCAGTTCGAGCAGGAATCTGCCGCTGTCTGGGATGCTGGAGTTGTAGGCTAGGAACAGTGGCGAGGATTAACTGACGGATAGATGACATTGCTCGAACGAAATGAATGATTATGAAAAGAAATCGAATGTGATGGACATGGCCGCTCTTCCTTGTGCTATTTAGATAGCTACGTGTGTTCTCTTGCAACGTCATGATCGATGCGACGTTGGCAAGGCTTCAAATCTGATGCACATTTCGAAAATCTTCAGACTAGAAGCACATCGCTTCCTAGCTAAACGAATAGGTAGTGCTTCAGTACATTCATTACTTACCTTGGGTATCCCTGCGCCAACAAGGACGGTGTCCTCAAAAGGAGCGTGCTGCAAAATACGCGATGCCGCCCAAGTATCGTAGATGGATGTAGATAAAAGCTCTCGAACCGAGGGTAATGTCGATTGCTAAGTGTCACGATGCAGAGAGGCTGGATAATGGAACTTGATTGATTGGATAGTATACAAGACGTCGCACGAGGATTGAATGGTCTGCAAGCGTAACAGCAGGCAAGGGAGCAAAAGTCTTGCAACATCCCGTAAATTACCCGGTCCTCCAAAAATCCGTTCAAACCCTTATATATACGGAAAGGAAACTGACCTGCGAGGTCGCATAGATCTCTACAACTATCTCACCAATTGCTACGAAACTGAAGCAGGCGGCTGCACCTCGGTATGTTGCAAGACTTTTGCTCCCTTGCCTGACAGGAAGAAAACCCTTCATGTGGAAGCACGTGACCTTAGAATAATAGAAGATCCGAACGCCAGGGAACATCAAGTCCAAACCGTGACACTAAGTGACTCATTAATTTCGTCAGATAACTACTCGTGTCCTCTAACTTCCTCTTACAATAATCCAAACACGTTTACGCTGCTACAACCTTAAGATCGCTGTGAAGTATCAGTGATGTTTAAACATAGATATTTCTATAGCGACAAACGTGTTGGGAACTATTAGAGCGGTATGTAACATTCGTGTCCCGATCCTGTAGACGCCACTACCATTCTTTGCTGTACGTAGATATGCTGGTCGGTCCAGGTACATTGCTAGACACGAGCGAAACGGTCGATCGGAAGAGAGCTTTACCAAATCGGTCGCGTGTAATAAAAACATGGCCTGTTTGCTAGTACTTATACGTAGGTTATCTCTGTAGGGAAGCGCAAAATTCAACTCTTGAAGAAGCCTCATCCGAAATTGGGTTGTATGGGTTTTGAAAAAATTAAAGACATTTTTCACTTTATTTCTTCTGCTTCCTTAAAAGTGGATTCAACTCCTCGATATTGGAAGCATTGATAAGTTTGAGAGTCACATTTAGGTAAACGATAGTCATCTATAGTGCACCGTGACGCTGTGGCGTGATGTATCAGGTAGGTTGCAAGATAGGAGGATTAGACAAGAGACCTGTGCGTTCCGAAAGCATGGTTTTTGCAGGTCCATTGTACGCTCTAGTGGCGCTACAGAGTTTGCACTCGATTTGCTTATCTCAACCAAGATTTAAGAGATGCTTGCGCCGGAAGTGTTTACTCAGGTCGTCGGGAGTCTTAGAGAATTGGGACTTACTGGTCAGCAAGCGTATGTGTTTCTTTAAGCAAATGAAACATATTATCGGTCTTTTCTATATGCAAACGGACGAGATCGCCATATCTCACGTTTCGTCCAGCGCCTTACTCGCTACTACTGGCCGAGTGTTTCCTTCGGTCCTAACCGCTATACGAGCGACACCTCTAGCAGACCGCCTTAGATGACTTATGAGGTAAGTTCCACTTCCTCGACTTTACAATAGTCTATGACCGCATTGATAGCCGCGTTACGTCGGCGAACCTTGTTTTCCAGCGATATCCCCGGTAACATCATGATCGCTTCGATCAAGCTTTTCTGTTCGGGGGTATTATCAGTAGAGGACTCCAGGATTGTCCTTATATCCTCAGCAAACTTCAGCCCGTCGCGGATCGATCGAGCGACTCATCTGCAGGCGGCCCGCGTTGATGCATGCTGAGGTTTCAGATCTCGATCGCCTGGGTGTCCGCGGTAGTGTGTTGCGAGAGGTAGTGTTTTAGAAACGTTAGTGTATTAGCGCGCTGCATGATTAGGTTCCGGAGGGGATTGCTAAAACTATCTACACCACATCGCCCGCGTCAGTAAATCTTACTCGGAAGGATTCTCTGTATAACACTGACCGCTCTGGTCGAACGCCTTGCCTGCGGTATATCGAAGAGCGTACGGGCGCGCAATCTATCGAAACCCCGTAATTACGCCGAGCTTCTTTATCTAAGGTAAGAGAGTCGAGTACGGTAAAAGCAGGTCCCGCGAGACCTTCCATCCACTTAGTGTCTTAACCGAGCGGCTAAAGATAGGGCCGTTATCTATACTCGGACGCAGCGGTAACCGTAGCTTATTAAGGCCAGGCGGAATGTCCAGCTTACTGAGCTGCTCAGGAGAAGTTGAGTTTAGAGGCTGCAAATGTTCGATTGGCACAAATCAGACCTAGAGGGAAGACGTGATGGTTAAGAATAAGACAGGGGTCGTAGATCATCTCTGGGATCGGAAACGAATTGCTAGTTACTCGTGAGCGTGGATCCTTGTGAAAAGTGAACGGTGAGTCTATGTAGGGAGGGGCGCAGCAAAGGTGATACGTACACGCATTTTATCCCGAGGTACCCCTTAGTGACACCCTCTCCCTATCCTTCCTCTTCTTCCTCTTCTTCCGCTGGACCTGTTCCTCTACGGCCTTCATCTCCTCCGCAGAAAGCACCCACGGCTTACCCAGAACCTGCCGGCGAAATACCGCAAGCTCCTTCCAAGCCCGCGCCTCCTCATCCGTTGTATCAACAAGGCTAATCCGCTTCAGCTCCAGCTGCCTCGTCTTGCGATACTCCGAGATGCTACACTTGACCTTGGCCACGGTGCCGATATCCAGCCGCCTCCCATCGACGATGACATCGAAGACGCCGAGCCTCGCGTCGATGTTCACGTTCTCGACAGCGGTGTTGGAGGGGCAGTCGACGCTGGAGGAGACGGATGGGTCGAGACGCTGGATCTTGACTTCGATAGTGGCCCCGCTGCCGTCGTCGAGGGTGAGGAGGGCGAGACGCGGGCTGGGATCGTCGATTGCGAGGATGGGCGCCACGAGGCGGACGTAGCGGATTGGGTGGTTTAGGTGGAAGTATACGCCTTGGCCTGTGGAGATGTCTCGCTGTCAGCGTCTGAGTCTGGGCATGTGTTTTCCAACGAAGCGGAAGTTGCTGGTAGTCGTGAAGGATTGTCGCACAATGGACGTACCTTCGTATCCCCGCTCAGCCCGCAGCGCATGGATGTCGGCCGCTGTGAGTTTGACCCATGTGTGGTAGGTCGGAGAGGCGGACCAGTAGCATGGCGCGACAATGGAGGCACTTGAGGTCGAAGGCCGACTGGTCATGTCCTGGTGTGGAGAGCGACGGTGGGATAGGATTCGAGCAGGCAGACCAAGTTGAGTAGCTGACCGGAGGGAGGGTCGCATTGAGGAGCAGCGCGGTCGCACGTGACAGGTCACGCCAAGCCCATGCCCCTCCATGGATGCCTGATCGCAGCCTTGCGAGAATTCCCGGTTGGACGTTGAGCAACCGCTTGCACTCGCAGTCGAGCCGGGCAAGGAGAGCATCGTGGATAGTGCCTTGTTTTACACCCGCTCTCCTTCTCGCGGCTTGCAGCAGAGCAAATCAGCCACTAGCAGCCATACGAAGGTAATGTACAATAGACGGGTTTCAACAACGGCTGCAAGCCCACTGGGTTCTTCACTCAGGAGGTTGTATGAAGATCCAGGCCCTGTGTTCATGAATACTTTGGTGCAAAGATAAAACAGACAGAGTGTGATAGCAGCCGCGACCCGCCAAGTCCTTCCCTTCGAGAAGTGGACGGAGATCCCGGGGCCCAGAGTTGCTCGTCCCACTCTCGTTATCATTACACCACCGATTCCACGCATCTCGGCTACGGCAGCCGTGCTAGCTACGAGCCGATCAGTTGCCCTCCCGTCAGCAGGCAGTGGTGCAAACGATCTGGCATCGACATCACCAGATCGTTGACCCATTCTTTAGTCACCAAGGCCCACGACGTCCGTATGGCGGCTATTGCAGTCTCATCGTCCGAAGGTGGTATCCTGTTGAGATTCTGCTCGGACATGGCATTCTCTATGATCGAGAGGTCTGGCGACTTCGCCACATGGCTGTAACAGCTGATGCCATTCTCCTGCTTGAACTTGGTGGTCCTGAGGCCCGTGTGGCCAAGATCGCCGTTCTCTTCGAGCACCAGACGCGGCTCCGCCCGAACGGCAGGCAGCACATGAGGCTTCAGGACCTTGTCGATGTAGATGTCTTGGGTCATGGCCCCGTTGCGTGACTCAACTTCGTAGAAGACGAGCTCGGAGATGAAATCGTAGCCGACCCACGCCCAGCAGTGGAACCTCTTGACGTCTTTCTCCAGGGTCTCGCGCTCCATGTCATGGTCGGCGCAGTACCGCGTTCCCGGCTCGTGGATGATGCGGAGCTTGTTCTGCGCACTGAGGCCAAAGTGCATCTCGCCTGCGAACCGTACGAAAACCCAGTCGTGCCAGTGAGGCCGTATCGATATTGTGATGCGGCACCACTCCCCCCTCCGCCTGCCGTGCTCTTTCGACACCCACGACCGCTCACATCCAAGGCACTTAAGGTAGTCCATGTTGTGGATGTGGCTGCGGACTGTGTGCCAATGCACATGCGTGAGGCCGGCAAGCTCTGTGAGATCGCTCCAGCTGAGTTCGCTCGTCTGGATGTCGCCGTTCGTCAGGACATCTTCCAGCTTTGCTACATCGTCACGTGTAAGCTTGGGCGGGCGACCTCGTGGGTCCCGTCCGGTTCTGGGCTTCTTCTCCTCGTACTTGTCGCCGTGGAGCAACTCCCATCCCTTCCTGCGAGAGACACCAAAGAACTTAAAAACATCAGCCTTGAAGTAAGTTAATTTGTGGCGATCGTTGAAGTCTATGACAGCTTGGATCTTGATTCTCGCGAGACGATCGGCCTCCCTGGGATCGAGTTCCTCAGCTGCAGGTGTTTTGGAGCGTTGCGGGGGCTGAGTGCGTTCTGGAGGCATCGTGAATGATGGCAGACGGTGTTTCGGAGTGATGATGATGAAGTGAAGGTTGATTTTGGTGTCCCGCCTTTTCTGGCTTCGCGTGCGCTGGCACTGTTGCGGCTCGTCGCACGGTTCGCACCAGCCATTGGAGCGCACGCACGCGAACCTCTCACAGGCTTCTATCACGGCAGCTTCTTCCCAGCGCGAGTTTGCCCCATCTCGCCTGGTACAAAGCCAGCCCGGCAACGAGGCCTCACAACGTTCAAACCCACCACCGACGGAGGAAGCGCTCGCAGCTGGTGCAAGCCGATCCGGCATGGCGCCGAGCAACGGTCGATGACGGCATCTCACGGCGAGGGGCCTTGGGGCCGCTGGGGGAGGTGTGCTGGGGAGCTCATCGCCCTGTTTGGGCCTTGATTCGCACCTCCATCGCCTGCCAGTCTTGGTCAGCACTGTCAGGTCCTTCTGCTGGACGAGGCTTCCAGGTCGCACGCCTGCAGTTTGTGGACTGCGTCAAACCGACCCGTGATGCCACAGGTTTAGCGGCGCAAACCGCTGCTCTTTCTCAGCCTTGTATCCGCTACGTCCCGGCCGACGGTAGCTCTCAAAGGTAGAGATACCAGAGGATACGAAGCCTGTTGCGCCGGTGGAGCACGTCCAGCTCACAACACTTCGCCTTCTGCGCTCAGTCGCGAAACGATCACTATGCGCCGCCCCTACCGCTTGCGCCTTTCACTCCTCACCCTCTCCGCGCTCGTCCTCCATGCCACCGCACATCCCGAAGCGCGACCCGAAGCCGAAGCAGCCGCAATAGCGGACGCCTCGGCCCAATACGCCAACTACGCGCCCTTCTCCGGGATTCTCTACATCGTGAACGCGGACGGTACCCAGGCGAACGCCGCCTCATATGCGAGCTGCGCCGCCGGCTGCAATGGGTTGGGATCGGGATACTCGGCTTAGTACGTGGTGACAGTTCGTCTGACCGACGCTTGGGCGCGCGGGTAGCGTCGCGGGGACAGAAGTTGAGAACGCACGGGTGCAAGCGCTCGTGCTGACGAGACGAGTAGCTGCTGCGCCGCCGGTTACGCGTGCGCCATGGCGGCGAACAACGTCGCCTGCTGCCCTGCTGGACAACAGTGTCAGGGTGTTGTCGCCGCTGCTGTGCAGACCGTTACCGTGACGGTAGGTCGCCCTGCAGTCCCAGGCCATTGCCTGTTGTTCAGTTTGTTGACGTGCAGCATCCAGGTGAACAATTACGTCCAGACGACTGTCTACAACCAACCCACCAACGTTGTTATAGCAGGTGCGCCCATCGTATATACTACCCAAAACGCCGTGAATCCCGTGTACGCTGGGTACTGCTCGACCCTCATCGCAAACGGGCCCGGCTTGCCAACAACGAGAGCGGGTGACTGCGGGACAATCTTGGTGGTCAACGGAGCGGACAAACTGTTAGCAACAGCCCTGGGGATTTTCGGGATATCTGTGATGGGGCCGCTCGTGGCAGCTGTGCACGTGCTGAGTGTTAGGATATGGAGGTAGCAGCACGGATCATTGACGATGCGCAACTGTTTCGACGTTTTGTGTGGAGCGTGCATTGTTCGGTTAAGAACAGAAGAGACAGTAATACGGGGGAGCTAGCAACGAGTCATGAGTTATGACCAATGGATAAAGACAACAATGCCACTCGCGCCGCAAGCTCGCTCCAGCTCTCTGCGGGGCTCTGTCGTGATGCCACTCACTTCCCTCCGACCTCTGCAATCGCGTTACTCAGTTGCCCCTCTTCGCATCCTCCTCCTTGTTCTTCGGCACCCCAATCATCTTCGGCACGGTGACAGAATTGAGGTTCCTGAGTGCATTCGAGAAGAAGCTGTCCGGCAGCTTGCCATCCCACTTGTCCTGCAACTTCTCAATCTTGCCATCCTTGCCCACGAAGATGTTGACCGCGGACGCGATGGTTTGCTCCTTCCCGATGCCCTTGACCACGTAGCGGGTCTTGAGGTTCATGACGATCGGGTTGCCCGCCGACACAACCTCGTGGTGGAGCCGCTCGATCTCGGAGAAGGCGGATTGCAGGCCATACTGGTCCATTCGTCAGTACTTGCAATGTCGCCTTGCCGAAGAGGGAACAGAACACGCTTACCCACTGTGCCTCGTACTGCTTCCGGCCGTTCGCGATGGTGATGGGATCCTCGAAGGTGCCTTCGTCTGACCAGAGGCTGAGCTTCTCGAGGGACGGCCGACCGGCGAAGAGGTCGAGCACCGAGCCTACGATGGTCTTCTGCTCTGGGGAGAGATCAACGCCGGGCGCCGTGTTGATGTTCGTGTTTTCAATTGGGATGTTGCCTGCTACAGACGTCAGGAATCAGTATGAAGGCAGCTATGCGCGGCGCATGTGAGGTCGCCAAGACGGACCTGAAGACATGGTGCGAGTTTGTTCGGGTTTGTTCCTAAGGGTGATTGCACGGTCGAGTGTCGTGGAGGTTTTGCGGATGTGTTCGGGGTGGGCGCGTTGTCGTAAGCTTGACTGAAGGTGTCGAGGCGTGAGAAGTCTTTGATAACGCATTAGTGCTCAGCTCAAGCCGCAGGGAAATCGCGAAGGAGTTTGATATAAGCAAGCGGTGGGCACGGTGAGGGCACAAGCAAATTGCCTAATACGGCTAGCGCGATCGAAGTCTATGACGCAGGATCACGGAGCATCTGCACACCGAGATCGGACTGGAACGACCGGAGCTCCGGTGGGCGTTCGACAGCACGTGAGCAGGCATCGGCTCGAATTCGCGTTGGAACTCCAGGTAATCCTTCAATTGGGGTTTACCGTCGCATAGAGATGACTGGTCCTGCGGAAGAGCTTTCATGAAGCATGACTTGGTTGATGCTCTGGCTGAAGCGCCGCTTGGCTCGCGATCCTACCAAGATACCCGTGCACACAATTCTTCGCCGTTGTGGTAACCTGGATGGAGATGTTGCTGTCCGTCTCGTTCTTTTGGCGGTCACGGCAATACGTGTGTCGCTGCCATAAAGGCGACGTAGGCTGAGGTCGTGTTGACAGACGTGTGGTGCCTTCCCCATCAACTCTTTCATACGGGTACTGTGCAGTTCCTTTGCGGCACGCCCTGTCGACGGCATCTTCCACGGAGGTCGAGAGTGGCCTTCAAGCTGGCTCGCTCACTCTTCGTGCCCAGCGGTGGCCACTTTCAATATCTCTTCTTCGAAACCCGGCACGTGGATACACTCGATACCTTCTCCTTCGAGTTTTGCTCTGCCTCTGTTTTCTCCAACAAACTTCTCCGGCTCCTTGACTCCCAGGTAGACCTTCTTGACTTTAGGCTCCGCACCCACCCTGGTTCGGATGATACGGTCGACACAGGGAAGGTTGCCGCTCAGTCTCAAAGTGCAGGGTTCCATGGTGGTGTAGATAACTGTTTGAGCGGGCAGCACTTCGCCGACGCGTTCCTCTGGGAGGCCGTGAGCCTGGGCATACTTTTGTAGGGCGCATTGCTCTGCATGAGTGTTGCCGGCAAGCTCAAGCGTGTACCCCGTGGCTAGGACCTCGCCGTTGGTCTCATCAACGAGGACGGCGCCGACACAGTAGTTGAATGGCTTCGGCGGTGATTTCTTAGCCTCTTCGAGAGCTAGACGCATGTATGCCTCGTGATGTGAAGGATCCATGCCGCTTAATCAATTTGGCCTGCCTTGTAAGCTGGGCTTGTCGGCAGCAAACGAAAAGAGGTTGGCGACACAAGACCAGGTGTGCGAGGCGTATATTGGCACGTGACTGAAAAGCTTTGTATCAGAAGTTCTTCCCACCTGAAGAAGCTTGAGGTTTTGGAGAGTATCAGATGGGAAGGACGCAGAGGAGGGTCTGACTGCGCAGAACGCAGAGCAGGTAGAGCAAGTACTGAAAGGTTACCTTCCAAGGTTCTCTTTTGAGAGCTAGATCGTAAGTGCTAGGTGTTACAGCCCTTCTACCATTCCGATCGGTTCGCTAGTTTCAAGCACAGCTTGACACTGGCGGTTCTGAGTGGGAACATCACGTGAGCGGTACGCAGTGACGCAGGAAAGGTCCCCGCCGAGGTAACCCCGGCTGAAGTGGTTCGCGTCTCAGTCGCGTCTTCCACCCGATCTTGCGATAACCCACTACAGCAGCAACACCTTTCTTGACCCAATCTTCAACATCTTCGCCAGTGCATATCAGAAACAGTGGCGGGGTCAATATGTCCCTCGAAGACCTCAGCGACGAGCCTCCGAGCTCCATTAACCCGTATGAGACCCTCGGCCTCGATCAGTCGGCAACCGCCGACCAAGTCAAGACCGCGTATCGCAAGGCTGCGTTGAAGCACCATCCAGGTGAGCTTGAAGCTTGAAGCTTCTCACCTCAGTGATCGAGCTGTGCCGCTCACATCAAGCAGACAAGGCCTCGGAATCCAACAAATCAGCGGCGCACACCAAGTTCCAAGAGATCGCCTTTGCCTACGCCATCCTCTCCGACCCCCGCAGACGGTCCCGGTACGATAGCACCGGTCGCACAGAAGAGAGCCTCGACATCGAGGATGACGACTTCAACTGGACAGACTTCTTCCGCGCGCAGTTCGAGAACGTCGTCAGCGAGGAAGCCATCGACAAATTCAAGGCCGAATACCAGGGCAGCGACGAGGAGCGCACGCATCTCCTGGCTGCGTACACGGCCGGGAAGGGGAACATGACGAAAGTCTACCAGCAAGTCATGTTGTCCAATCCCGCAGATGACGACGAGCGGTTTCGCACGATCATTAACCAGGCGATCAAGGACGGAGAGGTGGAGTCGTACAAGAAGTTCACTGAGGAGTCTGACGCGACCATCAAGAGGCGGATCAAAGCTTCCAAGCAGGAAGCCAACGAGGCGGAGACTTATGGCGAGGAACTGAAGCAGAAGAAGAGAAAGGGTGGGAAGAAAGCGGCGGATGGGGAGGCGTCACTGGCGGCGCTGATACAGCAGCGGCAGAAGGGACGGGCCGCGAACTTCTTGGACGACTTAGAGGCGAAGTACGCCCCACAAGCAGTCAAGAAGGGCAGAAAGCGGGCGGCGCCGGACGACGAACCATCAGAGGAGGCCTTCGAGAGGACGGCGGAGAGGGCGAAGAAGACCAGGGCCAAGAGAAGTGTATGAGGAAGTGGGCGGAGGGATGCCGGCCGGTCACGCAAGCGGAGCGCACGAGGCAAGAGCGTCCACTTGCGGTCACGTTCGAATTTTTGCGAGGCGTTCGGGGCACCATCAATGGGACTCATTTGGACATACCTGGGTACCATCGGACACGCTGAACCGCACCAGCATGATGGCGAGCAAAATTTTGGCACCTTTCAATTTACCTAGGGAGTTGATTTGGAGTTCAGGGTCTCAAAGTCAATCATCAGACCAAACAGGTCTCATGGAGATCTGTGTGCCATTCAACCTTGAGTATCGCATTACCTGATGCTGGGTATCCGGAAAGCACCCAGAGGTACTGGCACCGCATGAAGGCAGTGAGGTAGCCTATCCCGTGAACCGTTCAGGAGAGTCCGTGATCCCATGCTCTTTCAAGATCCCAGAAATTCGTACCACGCAGCGGCGCTAGCCCCTTGGCCAGTCAACATCGATTGCAAGTTTTACGCCAGTCTCAGCCGCATGCCTCAAATCAAGTTTAAGAGATCCAAATCCAGATCCATGTCTCACATTTCGAAGCACACTTGCTGCAGATCCCCCGCATCCCGTCCGTTGGGTCCGGCTTCTTATTGGTTTAATACTCCCGCACTTCATCTATTCTTAGGTCCCACGAGAACTGCATGCATCTTAAGATGCCTGAACACCTGAAGCGAACGCGGAAGGGGAATTCCATAACCGAGATCTCGTATTCTTCTCGTTTGTGGCTCATCGCGTCGTGGCCAAAAAAACTTTCCTACCAAAATCGCATCCTCACCAAAACCACCCTGTTGCTTTGAATAAAAAACTCTACTGATTAGAGTAAAGTATGTACTAAGCGCTTCTCCTTATATGTAATCTACATTAAAGCATTCTTGCAGGTAATACTCTATCATTTTGTGAAGTTCTGAACGATGTAAAGATGCGATCTTGGTGAAGAAGCGCTTCGGTAGGAAAGTTTTTTTTGGCCACGACGTGCTCATGTAGGCTTTTGGCCCGTTCCAGAGGTCCAATATGTAAAGCCTAGGTAGCGCCTTGACCCCGCGTTTTCATCCCGTGTCCTGTATAAACACTCACCTTCTCTTTCACACATACCACTGGGGAAATCCTCATCAGAGCAGTTCCAAGGAGTCCGCCTTCTACCCATTGGCCCCCCCCCCCCCCCCCCCCCCGAGCTTCCGCGAGGCCACAAGCACATCTGACGCCCCTTACGAGCTCAACATGAAAGTAATCTTGCTGCTCCTCGCGGTCCTCCCGCTCTCCCTCGCCATTCCCAAGTCCTCCAAGCCCGCACCCGCCTGCAGCATCTCCACAAAGAAGGGCAAGCCAGTCCGACCCTCAAAGACAGTCGTGACCAGCTCCGCGAGACCGACCGTCATCGATCAGCTCTGCGGCTCCCGCGGCCTTCCTCCCTGTCCAGATGGCTACGACTGCGTAGCCCGTGAAGGCTCTACCTGCGGACCCGAGACCGACTGCCCAGGCATTTGCGTCTTGCCGCCGGCCAGTCCACCGCCGTGCGGCACAACTGTCGCGCCCACACCGTCTCCATCGAAGGTCTCATGCGGCACCTTGCAAGGCATCCAATGTCCTCCCGAGCTGATCTGCATCAGCGATCCTGATAGCGGTGGATGCGGCCTCGCGTGCGATGAGCCGGGTATCTGTGTCGAGCCGACGTTTTGTGGAGGGTTTGGTGGGCTGCCGTGCCCAGCGGGCATGGAGTGCGTTGATGACTGGAGAGACGACTGTGATCCGTTGAATGGCGGTGCTGACTGTGGCGGCGTTTGTATATGATTCTGAAAGTTCATGACGTGATTTTGCTGCGACGGACTGTATTAGGTGGGTGCTGAGAGTTTTGGCTATGGCAAGTCCATCAGTGTGCAGACTGTCTTCAAACCCTACTGCAGCAGCTTGTTTTCTCTGACTATTGAATGTAAATCCCGCATCGTGTACTGTATGTTCGAATCAACCCTACGTTTCGTAAAGAGCTTCATACAAACAGCCGCTGCCGGAGACCCGGTAGATCCTGCGAACGACGTACGAGGTCACATCCGACCGTTACGGTGAATCGAAGAGGTCAAAAAGACCAGGAAGATATTCACATTTGAGTGGATGGGCTCGAACGCCTCACTGCGAACACTACACCGTGCGATGGAGCTCAACCGAGACTTTTTTTTGCAGCATTGGTAGGTGAGTGAAGCCGCCTGCGCAGGACTTGCTCAGTTCTGTGGCCTCCTATAGGCTGTCCGCTATGCCCTTCCATCTAGAGATGATTGAGTTGTGATGAAGCCGCTAAGAAGCTGTTACTTTGAATTGCTACCGCCAGCTCCGATTCACATGCATTGCTACTCGATATCCCCGATGGAGGCGTAACCCAGGTGAAGCTCGGTTGAGTCGGTATCGAGAACTGCATCTACAACATCAGTGTGGTTCACGGAATCTAATTCAAAATCTATGATTTCGAACGCACCCTAGATATGCAGCCGGGATGTCAAGTTCAAAAGCGAGCGGCTACTTTGGATGTTATCATTACGGACGACAGTACCTGGTTGTGACTTCAGTTCGATCGTGGCTTTCCGTTAGACATGGTCTCGCGAGCTCCTCCGCGTTGCGGCGAACCTAGCTTCTTTGTCACTGTCCCGCCGTCTCCAGATGCTGGCAGCCTCTCCAACTGCTCAAAACGGTACACCATCTGCATGATCGTGGTGGTAAGCATTGAGGATACATCCCCTCGACAGACCTCTGAGGTCCAAGAAGCTGGTGACCTATATCTACGGTAGAGTCACGGTCGTTCTCCCAAATGTGTAAGGTCCAAAAGGCGTGTAAAATATTTCGCTTGTGGTAAATACTGCAGAGCTTAGTGAGTGAAAGTCTCTCTTCACATGGCAGGGCAGGAGTCTTCAACGGATATCACGCACGCTCTCGAGATAACCGAGAAAGCCGTACTTGGGCCATGGTAGAACAAAGTCATCGGCGGCAAACAGACCGCATTAAGGACGATGGCGCTGTTGTTGAGGATGAAGTGCTGAAGATGGGGCTGCAATTAAAGGTGTAAGACCGGTTGGTTTTGGGGGAGACCTAGTGTCCGGAAGGCTTTTCTCAGACCATTCCTGGATATTCCCAGGTTAGGGATGTCTTTCGCCAACTCGGTAATGGCTGCATTAAAGGTGAGTTCCAATCTGGTCGGGATGGCAGTATTGGGGCTAACGTTACCGCAAGCGGGACGTATCTGCAACGGAATCGCTGCGTGCTGCAGCCCACAAAATGTAAGGCTTTGAGCGAACACTTGCTCGCGTCTCCAGAGAGCCAACCTTACTCATGTTTGTAGACGGTGGTACGAACGTCCAGATTTGCCAGATCGCCTAGACAGAACGACAATCGGCTCTACATTCGGCCTGACTAGTAAATCATGTGTGAGAGGCGGAAGATCGCAAACTGGCAGGATGGAAACCGATACGGCTGGGAGCTACGGAATGTACTGTCGTCTCATTTGGTGCCGGCGTCACTCTTCACAGTCTTCTCGTTTGTTGCTACGGTCACTCCGCTTCCGCTTCGATGGGCAACGGGAGGCCGGAGTTCATTATCCCATCTATTGGAGCGAAGGGGGGCTGGTTAGTTAGATATGTGCAAGATGCCAAGCCCCCTTCCCGACGACACGTGACTCCCCTTTTGGCTCAGACGTGATATTCTTATCTCAGTTAGCGACTCAGACTTTTGCAGGGGTGGCCTTGGCATTAGCACACGAGCCTGTGGCGGTGCATGGAGTCACTCCTGCCGTCTGAGAGCCACTGGTGCACGGTTATTAGAGACTCAATTCAGTTTCTCGAACTCACGAGTCGAGCCGCTTTTGCCAAGACTATTCACGCCAAACTTAAAAACTCTCTCACTATAGAAGTAGTTATTCTAGAGAAAGTTGGGGACGCGAGCTTTAATTATTATATATATCTCTATTATCTCCACGATCAAAATTTTTGTGGTGAGATTACTTAAAAAGCTGGCGACGTGATTTTTCTTGGCATTCACGAGTCGAGCCTCATATAAACTCGCACCAGAGGCCCTCAGACGGCAAATAAGACAAAACCTGGGGGGAGGGGTTTAATTGGTGGATGGGGTGGGGTAGGGTGGAGCTTAGCCACAGGGCCCTTGTCTTATCTGCCGTCTGAGCCGCAAGCTGAGATAATGATATTCAACAGCTTCTAAGCGCGAGCTCGTCTGTCACGTGATGTTTGACGGCACCTGCGAAAGAGGACATCGCAGCAACGAAGCACTCCAGCTCAAGCCACGAAGCCCTTGCCCTGAACAGAAGCCGCGAATAGGAAGCAGCTCACTGAAGCAACCCGGAAGCCATGACGGACCTGTTTACTGGGCCTAGGGTCGGGAGCGCGGACTGCGCGTGCGGTGTAAAGGGCGTTTTCTTAGGCATATGCTGCTGCTATTGAGGCAGCTCGATCATCCTTCCGTACCGTTCACACCTGGGCGGGATGCTGTCTTCTCAGCTCTCCTACCTACCTTGCTGAACGTGATGCAATATGCGTGCTCCCGGCTGGCTAGGTGGCTTTGGCGACCGGATCGTGATATCCCTCTCGTCCTACCGTCACAGTTGCTTCCTGTCCGGGTTCCCTAAGATCTTTCACTCTTGCATGAATCACGGCTTCCGTCCTCGCAAATCTCATCTTTCGCTGGCGACTATGAACTTCTCTCAGGACCCTTCACGGCGTCTACGCGCGCTTTTCACTCTTGCTGCGGCGCGCCTTCGACTTCCGTTTGTTGCCCACCACAACACACACTTTTCTTCCGCTCAGCGCTCCTTCCCACGCCACATCACCGTCACGCCCAGCGCCTTCCCCCCTCCACGACATCGCATTGCCGACTTCCGTCTTCAGCTTCCCTCATGGCCAGACTGAACTACACAAACGTACATTTGCACGAGCTTGGCCACGAAAGCATGGGACATTCACTGATTGCTGACAGCGCAAGATCGATGGCGTCAAGCTCGGCGCTGTGGTCGCCCGAGATCTGGTATGGACAACTCCGCATGCCAATGAGCAGACCGTCAACCCCTCTGACTCCATGGTGTCATCAGCGCAAACGAGCAACCACCTTCTCGAAGAGATCCGACGCATTACGAGACTCCGCCGTCCACGAAGTCGACCTCAACCTCGCAGGCAAAAACCTTACCGATGACGGTCTGCGGGAGCTCGTACACGGGCTCGAAGACGCTCTGCAATGTTTCCTGGACGGCAATCCCTGCACCAAGCTTGAAGAGCTGAACCTCGCCAACAATGCGCTCACAGCACGGTCGTTGGCTTTGCTTGCCCCGGTCGTTCGGTTAGCGAAGTACGATCTCAAAGACCTCGACCTTTCGGACAACAAGATTGAAGTGAAGACACAGGAGGAGGCGCAGGACTGGGAGCTGTTTCTGGACTCGTTTTCCGGCTGCCACGACTTTCGAAGACTTGATCTAACGGGGAATGGTCTGTCCGGTCCTCTACCGTTTGAAATCCTCGCCCGAGTCTACTCATCGCATGCTCCGATCGATCCGACGGACCTCCAAGGCGAGCGCTTGGCTGCTGAGGCTGCTCGGCACGTCAATGGGGACACCGACGGCTTCGCGCGCGGCATGGAGAACTTGACCATGAACGGACATGCTGCAGCACCTCTACACGACAGTCTCCTCACGCCAACCCAGTTCTCCATGTCCGCAGCTACGATCCTCAAGCGGCGCTGTGGTCTTCGGTCTGTGCCATACATCATCCTATCCGACACCGCGTTGTCAGACTCGGGCGCGCTGTGGCTATCCTACATCCTGGCGAGGCACTACTTTCCTCAGCAGCTCATGTCGCCATTGAAGCCGGGTCCCGTAGCAACTCAGCTCGAAGAGTACCGGCATAGGAACAATTGCTGGGGGCTGGTGTATGTTCCGAATGAGAGCTTAGGTAGCTCAGGGGACAAGGTTATGACGCATGCAGAGGCTGTCCGGCAGGAGCTTCTCGGAATCAGCGAGGATCCCATGGCCGCATCTGTGGGCTCTATGGTGCACGTCCAGGCCATGCAAGCCACAAGGCGGCAAGTCTTCCTACGCAAACACATGGGGCTGTGCTGATAGGCTGCAGTCGCAACTCCTCCAGCGCAACGAGCCGGCGACCGAGCATGCTTTCTTCGGAGACAGGTCGGCCATCCGGTGGAATGCACGACACTCGCACGAACGGCACAGAGATCGACCGACTACGGAACAAGATTCAGAGGGCGATCATCGAGGACACTGGCCCAACGAGTGTTCAGCTGTGGGCAGGCGCGTTGAAGATGCTAGTGTATGGACGGACTGTTCTACTGGGAGGGGTAAGCTCTCCTTGTCTTGTGACTGCCACATCTGGTAGCCGGCGAAGTCGTTGAACTACCTCAACGGCCCATAGCCAGAATATCCTGACGATTGCTGACGTACACAGCGGAACGATCGCTCAGATCAGCACACTTTTGCTTCCAAGCTCGTCGCTACTGCGTCAGCCGAGTCAGAACCAATCTTCGCCATCACGGATGTTACGAACACGCCAACATCAGCAACCGTCATCGACTACACCGTACTGTCGCACGCCAACGGCACGGCACCCCAGCGCTCCGTCCTCAAGGCAGCCACCAACGGCACGAAGAAGTTGCTGCACATGATCCTGAACACTACCGACACCGACTATCGGGATAATGGCTTATGCGGCGGCCTTACCATGTCACTCTGGCAACGAGTGCTAGCTCTAGCAGCTGGGGCTGAAGGTCTGATGAACCAGGATCAGCAGAGCAGTGTTCTCCGGTATGCGCAGGATAGGTCTACGCTGGTGAAGGAGCGCGCGGTGTTGGCGAAGCCGGACAGTGTGCAGATATGGATGGTGCTGGATAGCATGAGTTGCTTGGCGTATGATATCAGGCCTTGAGTGTTGCGAGCAGGCGCGCGCGGGGTCTTCTCGCGCGATCGGAGGGTTATCACATGCTCTGGTGTGGCATTCGCGTCGTACTCTGCGGCCGTGAAGGTTGGACCTCAACACAAGCGTGATTGAACGGACACAGCGAAAAGCGCTTGTGTTCCTATTTGACCTGCTCTACTTGGTTGGCTGGCGAGGGCCGTCTTTACGTTGTCGGGCCTCGGCCTATCTTCTAGTCATCCTAATCAGCGTCAGATCGAACCGTTGCTTCGCCCACTCCATTGCCTTCGATCTCTTGACTGGATTGTTTTCACTTACTTCACCCACGGTCGTCTCCAGGCCCTTCGTCTTCCTTCCTTCCTTCCTTACTTTCGGCCTCCAGCACCGTTGGTTGGTCGTCCACACACCGCCACAGCATCTCTGACCTCGAAAAGCCCGTTGTAACCCATCCTCCCGTCCTGAAAGACTTGAGATTCGCTTCCGCGCTCCTCCGCAGTTCTACGGCCTTCGCCGGCCGTCCTTCCTTATCAGGATCCGCCCGCATCTGCCAGAACCTGGGGCAGTTGGCCAAGCTGCTCGAGGTAGACTCCGTAGACGCATCGACACAGTGGCTCACCTCGGATTTGGTCGAGCCGTATTGGCCTGACTGTCTAATTGAAACACAGCACTGCGATGGCCAGAAAGTGGTGTTGACGCAATGTGATTTCTGCCCAGTGCTCTGAATGTCAAAGTGAAGAAATTCAACCAAGCGCGGGTAAACGGCGGGAGTAACTATGACTCAACCTTAGGAGGGTCTTGAGAGAGGCGCGAGAGCGTGCTCTAGTCCCCTCGTACGGAGG